TTTTTTTTTTTTTTTTTTTTTAAATGGGTCGTTTGAAGAAAGTCATACTGCTCAGTCTCTTTAAGTTCTGGGTTATTTATTTATTTGTTTGTGTGTTTGTGTGTATGTGTGGCCAGCTCAGCCCACCAGGGGGTGGGGATGGCAGGCGTGTGGTGCTGGGGGATTGAACCGTGGTCCCTGTGCTTTGCTAAGCTTGTTCTAAGTAGGTGCTTTAGACCACTGAGCCATCTCACCAGCCCCAAGTTCTGATTTTTGATCTTTTGTTTAGTACAACTTTTCTTTTGTAGGACTCAGTCATGTTGAATGGCTTTGGCACAGTGGTCAATGCTCTTGGGAAGCGAGTCAAACCCTACCTGCCTCAGATCTGTGGTACTGTTCTGTGGCGCTTAAACAACAAATCAGCAAAAGTGAGACAGCAGGCAGCGGATTTGATCTCTAGAACTGCCGTGGTCATGAAGACGTGTCAAGAGGTAAACTCCCTCCATGCTCCTGTTTCCTCTATGAGCAGCCTGAAGTGAATAGTGATGAGATTGGGTGAGTTCAGGGTGGTGTGGCCGTAGACCTGAATAATGACGTTTATCATTTCTCTTTGGCTATAGGAAAAGTTGATGGGGCACTTGGGTGTTGTGCTGTATGAATACCTGGGTGAAGAATACCCCGAAGTGTTGGGCAGCATTCTTGGAGCCCTGAAGGCCATTGTAAATGTGATAGGTATGGAGTTTGCTGGTCACGTAAGAGTTTTCTTGTTGGTGTTGTTGTTGTTCTTGTTGTTTTAACTACTATTAACAGTTTTGAAAGTAAAATGCAGAATCATATTTAGGAGTTGGGTGACTTTTATTACTTTTTGAAAATACCCTTCAAGCTTATATTAAGTCAGAATGAGTCACAAAAGTCATACATTCTTAAGCCTTTTACTTTAATAGAAAAGGGGTAAGTTTGGGAGCTGTGAGGGGTGAGGGCATGGTCACTACTCTGACCTCTGAGGCCATGAAAGAGGAAGGGGGCTTGTAGGACAAGTGAACCTGCTGAAACTATTCTGTTGTATTCTGGAGGTGTGGTGGGAGTGGGGCTTTATTTAGTTGTAGAATGAAATCACAGATTATTCAACCTTGGATTAGTATGTTGTGAGGACAAATTTTTTGATTACTGTCAGTTCAAGGAACATAATTGGAAGAAAAGTGGTTTGATAAAGTCATTACTTAATCTTTCTGTATTTGGATCTTTAAAGCTGTCCATTTGGTTGTTTTAACTCAGAGTAATAATACAAGTAATTTTGGGTTTAGAGAACAAAGCTTTTCATTTTTTAAACAAGTATGAAAATGCAGATTATGATATGCAGAGTAAACATGATTTCTTATGGTTAATCGAACTAATTGAACATAACTAGCAAGAAGTCAATGGGGCCAGGGAGATGGCTCAGTAGGATAAGCGCTTGACTGGCAAATGCAAGGATCTGAGTTCAATCCCCGGTTCTGCCACAAAAAAAAAAAAAAAACAAAACAGAAGTCAAGATAACTGGCAGCCACTTTTTTTCATTTTAGTAAAGAGGATTTATGGATGGATATCTGACTATATTTACATATGATTCCTAATTCAGCCCCTACCCTGTCTGTAGGATAATAGCAATTTGTAAAATTAGATATTTGGCCATTCGTGGGGCGCTGCTTGCACGGAGTTGTGAGCCAGCTGTTTGTAGGGAGATGTGGGACCAGCCCTCGAGAGCGCAGAGCAAGCACCTCCAGTCAGAGCAGGAGCCCCTGCCAGCTGCCTCCTTTCTTCTCTCTTCGTAGGTGTAAATCACATCCAAGTATGCCCTGCATTGCAGGGAGACTGGAGCTCTGTATGTTTTGGCAGTTAAAGGGTAAGGGGGCCCTTTCTGGAAAATTTTGCTTTAATTTACATGTCTATCTCTGGCTTATATTGTGTATGGCCAGAATATAAGCTGTCCCCATACTTCAGTATGTCAGCGTATAATAAATACATTTCAGAACCAAAGAAAACCTTTTTTGTTATTGAGTATCCATCGTTCTTTAAATCACTTCACTGATTTCTTTCATTTCTGTGCATAATCAGAAGTTCTTAATAAAATATTAAAAATAGTTCTGAGACTGGTCAGAGTTTGGGGCTTTCTCTTTCTGTAGGCAGCTGTGAGTTTGTCTCTGTGCCTAGTCATACGTCTTAACATTATGAAGTAAAAGGTAGAATGAGCCATAGCAGATTGTGGTCCAGTAAGACTGACGCTGGCTTCTCTTAATAGGTATGCACAAGATGACCCCTCCGATTAAGGACCTGCTTCCCCGCCTCACTCCCATCTTGAAGAACAGGCATGAGAAGGTGCAAGAGAACTGCATCGACCTTGTGGGGCGAATTGCTGACAGGTAGGCAGATGGCCCGGCCAATTTTAGAAAATGTTCTCACGTCGCCACTCTGGAGTGAGCACAATTTGTGCATGTTGTGAGTGTTCATACATCTGTTGAGGGTGTGCAGCGTCCACGCATTAGTTATTCTGAACTCAGCAGCGGGAAGTGCCAGTATAGTTCTGACTAAATCAGCTCTTTTGAAGAGGAGTAGTAACTTACAGTTAATGTGTAGCACGAGTCAGTAGTGACATTTTTTGAGTTAAATTTGCAGATAGGCTTTTTAAAACTTGTGGGACTGGGTAAGGATGCTCCTGAACCATACAGTAGAGTGTGTGTATGAGGCCCTGGCTTTGGTCCCCAGTGCCACATGGGAACTATAACACCACAGAAGTGTTTTTATTTTTTCTCAGGGGAGCTGAATATGTGTCTGCAAGAGAATGGATGAGGATTTGCTTTGAACTTTTAGAGCTCCTAAAAGCTCACAAAAAAGCTATTCGTAGAGCCACAGTCAACACATTTGGCTATATTGCAAAGGCCATTGGGTGAGTGTTTCCATTTTTTTATTATGTTGTGGTAGACTTCACTGTGGTACTGGGAAATACTTCTGTGTAGAAATCTCTTGAGGCATAGTATGATTAATGTTGATAATGTGTCCATTTAACTGTCAACCTTCCACATTTTAAAGATAAAAAAGATGAATTAGAAGGCGGTAAGATTTCTGCTAGTTAACTTTAAATATTTTCATAACGGTCCCATTATCAAAACAATTTCAAATTTTTGGTCCTTTTCAGATATTGCTTAAAATAGTAAGGTAGCTTCGTAATATCGCAGCATGGCTTGCATCTCATATCAGCGTGAAAGTGGCTTTATGATTAGTCCATAAATGTAAATGAGCTACAGCGTGGTGAGGCCATCTCTACTTAGTTGCTTCTCCATGGGAGCCCAGCGAGGAGTGTGGTGATGTGGGAAGGGAGGCACTGTATGTACTTGTGGCTTAGGGACTAAGGAATGTATGGCAGTCAGGGTACTCAGAGCGCCCTACCCACGGGACACATACGCTCTCCGCCCTGCTCTTTGGGCGTGGCAGTCCATTTCAGTGGCCTTGGGATGAAGATGTCTGCAGCACCCCCCCCCCGTCAGAACGGTGGGGGGGGGGAAGGAGAGAGGCACTGGCCCTGCCTGTGTTGAGTGCGGAGGCCAGAGCTCTGGCTACTCCAGCCCCGTGAGCTGGCTCAGCTTGTGTCCATCCTGACCCCACAGAGAACCACCCTAACTGTGTACTTCATACCTTTACATCCCAGAATGTTTATACATGGAAGATGGCATTTGAAAATTAAGCCACTTTTTGTTTTAAAACCCAAACTACAGTCCTACTGGCTTGAAAATACTGCATTTTCCCCCCACAAAATTACTAAGTTCCTAGCGATTACCTATTTGATTCCAGTGCATAATTTTCCTCTGAAGGAATTTTGACTTGTAACAGTTGGCTGGCGCTTCCTTCTTTCTAGCCCTCACGATGTGTTGGCCACACTCCTAAACAACCTCAAGGTTCAGGAAAGGCAGAACCGAGTGTGCACGACGGTGGCCATTGCAATTGTCGCTGAGACGTGCTCGCCCTTCACGGTGCTGCCTGCCTTGATGAACGAGTACAGAGTCCCTGAGCTGAATGTTCAGAATGGCGTGCTGAAGTCACTGTCCTTCTTGTTTGAGTATATTGGTGAAATGGGCAAGGACTATATCTACGCGGTGACACCACTACTTGAAGATGCTTTAATGGATAGGTGAGTGCTTTGCGCTAAATGTAAGGAAGTAATAATTCTACTTTTGTCAGTTTTTTAATTTAAACGTTGTTTTAATCATTTATTTATTTATTTGGTACAGGATTTCACTACACCATTCAGATTTGTAGTGATTCTCCTGTCTCAGCCTCCCCAGCGCTGGGATTACAGGTGTGCACTATCATGCCTGGTTTCAGTGACCAGCATGGTGCGCCTGGAATGCAGTACCAGGCTTCGAACTTGGGTCCTTGTGCTTCCCAGGCAGGCGCTTAGACTGCTGAGCTATTTCTCTAGCCCTCTTCTTCCAGTTTAGACCTTATTAAAGTGATTATCAGATGACCTGTTTGCTGCAGTGTTGTTAGAAGAGGTACTTCTCAGGTGTGATGTTCCCCTGTAATCCCAGCACTCGGGAGGCTGAGGCAGGAGGACCAGTGAGTTTGAGGCCTGTCCCTCATCCCCAACAGAAAAGAGATTCTGGATCTTTACAGAGCTGTAAACATGACTGTATGTCATAGTGGCTCCTCACATTTTCTCTTCCAAATTTTCCTCTTTCAGTTTTAATCCTTGTTCATAGCAGCACAACAGTGTTTCAGAATTGCTTGGAAAGCAGTCACTGGTGCACTTTTAAATTAGTCAGATGTAACTAGAGGCAGCAATGAGCATGAAATTTTTTTGGTTTTTATTGCAAACTAATCCACTTTCCCTTTACATTGTGCACTGCTGAATGTAACTTACCAGAACCACCCTGCTTGGCACAGACTCTGGTGGCTCCGATGGTGACTGCCTCAGCCGCCACCAGCAGCACATTGTGAGAACTAGCCTGTGAGTTTGTCCCTGATGGAGGACAAAGACACAGATAATTTTGAAGGAAGAGCCAGGGCTCTTACCTTTATTGGACAAAGAGCCAAGAGCACTGGGTGCACCTTGCTGTCCTGAGATGCAGGACCAGCAGGTAGGGAGCCAGAGGAGTATCTGCCTCCTGCGAGCTGTTGTGCATGCCGGGGCTGCATGATCCCAGCGGGCTGTGACTCTCTTGGACTGTGTAGTGGGTTGCCAGTAGAGCAAAGCTTGCTGTTTCTCCTCTTGTGCTCGTAGAGAGGTCAGCCAACCATGGTTGTCAGTGTGTGGGCTCCTGGATCCCTGGCACAGGATCCCTGTGCCTTCACTGTGTGGACAGACACCTTACTGGAGCTGGAAGATAAGAAGAGCACGGTGTAGGTGGGGTGGCCAGGCAGCCTGGCTGCACCCTTGGGGAGCAGAGTGGGATGCCCCAGTGCTGCCCTGCAAGTTGTTGAGCAGGTTTCTCTGAGGAGGAAATGGGCACTGTCCAGACATCCTGGGCAGGTTTCTGTGTGTACGACTCTGAGACTGGATTTGGGCTATGGAACAGTGTATTTCAGGGTGTGCTGGTGGGCACGGGTAAGTTGATTGGGCAGGCTTAGGGCAGGCTGCAGACCAAGGAGCAGTAGGGGCATGGCTCTGTTGGAGGTCTGACTGGCGGGCTGGGGCATGGTGCTTGTCACCTTTGTTCTGGATTTACAAGATGGCCCTCTAGATGTCCTCATTGCTCCTGTGACCACCAGCAGCTGACTGCCTCTGCTGGGGCAGCCTCAACTTTGGTGAGACTCTGCCAGGGCCCGAGGGACCACAGGCACAAGGTGGTTGCAGCTGCCTCACCTGGGTGGTCTGGGTCTCGAAGGTGATGAGACTGTTGCTACCCTGAGTGGTTAGCAGGCAGCGGAGCAGAGCAGAGGGAGCTAGAGTGGCAAGCGGTAAACGAGGCATAATGCATTAAGGTCAGACTGTTTTTCTGTTACCTATTGGCATCTGTCAGCCCTAAGAAACAGGTTGAGGGCCAGGGCTTGGTTTGTGCTGGGTTCCTGTGGTGGTCTGTCTCAAATCACATCTATATGGCACCCGTGGTTAACAGTAATATTTGCTGTACTGAAAGGCTGCCAGAGTTATAAAACAAGGTACAGTACTTCCGTTGGAAAACTTAGTGCAAAGTGCTGCTCCACTGTGCTGAGTAGATGAGCCATCATACTGCAGTGTGTGTGATGAGGATGTGGCTGGTGGCAGTCCCAGTGCAGGGTAGGTGTGTGTGGGTGCTAAAGAGATAGATTTTTCACTTATCCCCTTGGGATGTTGTGTCCAGGGTAAAGTGTGCTGACTCATTGTTTTGCCCACTACGAGCTGTGTCCCATGCTCATCTCAGAATAGTGGGGTGGATAACTATCAGATGGACACAAGCATTACAGGTTTTTTATGTCTGGGTTTGAAAAAAGTCCATTGATTTACTCTCCAAGTTGAGTTTTTGAATGAAATGATGTTTTACATTAGAGATTAATTTTTCATTATTATATGCTGGTATCTGAGTTACTATGAACAGTTGCAGGTGTATAGCATCTAAAGTAAGGTATTGTTAACATTCATCTGTAAGAGTCATACAGTGCCCTTTAGTAGCTTGCTTTTTTTCCTCCTATTTTTTTTGGTTAGTAAAATATTTTATTTGGCATGTATTTTAAATGTAATGTAAGTACTAGGGAGGCTAAGGGCTAGGGCAGGAGGATGCCATAAATTTGTGGCCAGCCTACACTGCATAGCAAGACCTTGTCTCAAAAAAAAAAGATATTCTTTATGTATAAGCCAGGAATCTTTTTTTTTTTTTATTAAATTTTTCTGTGTGTGTGTGTGTGTGTGTGTGTGTGTGTGTGGCCAGCTCAGCCCACCAGGGGGCGGGGCTGGCTGGTATGTGGTGCTGGGGGATTGAACCGTGATCCCTGTGCTTTAGCTAAGCTTGTTCTAAGTAGGTGCTTTAGACCACTGAGCCATCTCACCAGCCCACGCCAGGAATTTTGACACTGAAAGAGAAACTAAGAGACAACATTCATTTTGGAAAATCAAAAATCTGATTTTTTTTTTTTATGCCATTATCATCCTCAAAAATATCAGCTAAATTTCAGCTACAAAGGGTAGACAGATCTTCAGTTGCTTCAGTTGTAGCTCTTCACTGTGTCCCTAGAATGCATTCATGGCTCTCCTCCGGTTGATGTCCCTCTTGATTTGGCGAAGTGTGCAAATGGGACAGAGCAAGGTTGCCCTGTAGTCATCACAAGTAGAGCCCGGATGCCGTATCGGGTCTGGTAGAGCGTCCTCATCGCCGCACTTGTCCCGCACAGGCAGCGCTCGCTCAGGCGGGCCGCAACCTGGCACCCAAGGCACGGGAAGCCAAGCATGCCGCAGAGACACACTCCACAGTCGCTGAAGCGCTCATACATGCCCATCTGCCAGTTGGAGTTCTGGGGCGCGCGGACAAATCTAGGTTGAGTCACAACCACCACTGGTGCCTGGTCTTGCATTGTGAGCGCAGTCTTCAGAGCTGTGGTTGTGATAAGTATTTTCTCCTGGGAGCGTGGTGCGGCCACGTGAGGGTCTTGGTAGAAGTGAAAGCCCTCCTTTGTTTTTTTGAGATGAGATCTCACTGTACAGTTCAGGCTGATTCCAAACTCACTACGTAGCCCAGGCTGACCTTGAACTCACAGTGCTGCTTCAGTGTGCCAAATGCTGGAGTTATAGGGGGCACCACCGTAGTTGGCTTTTGGTACCAAATTAATCCAAGAATGCACAAGGTCATTCCTCTCCTTGAAAGTTATTTAGAAAACAGCTTATTTTGAGCGTCAGGCTTTAGTCACCCAAGCGGAAGTTTTTGCGTGGATTCAGTCATCACCTGAAGGATGATGGATCAGCTGTGGGGTGTAGCAGGGCTCCCCTGGGCTGTGCCTGAGTGGGCACCGTGGTTCCTGATGGCATCAGCTATGTCAGAACAGACTGCTGTTCTCTTGCAGGGACCTTGTGCACAGACAGACGGCCAGCGCGGTGGTGCAGCACATGTCACTTGGTGTATATGGCTTTGGCTGTGAGGATTCCCTGAATCACCTCTTGAACTATGTGTGGCCCAATGTGTTTGAGACGTCGCCCCATGTGATCCAGGCGGTCATGGGTGCGCTGGAGGGGCTCCGGGTCGCCATCGGACCGTGCAGAATGCTGCAGTACTGCCTCCAGGTGGGTGGCTGGGAGACCCCGTGTGGTGACCTCCAGGCCTACTTCCTGTGGGAGGGCTGGGTGTGGCGGGCTGGATTTTCTTTCCCATTGGTCTTCTTTCTCTTGGTTTAAAGGGAAATATTGTATTGTCTGTTAATTGTCTTACGGTTATGTATATTCTTGAACATTGAAATCCTGTTACTTGTAATTACTCTAGGGTCTGTTTCATCCGGCCCGGAAAGTCCGAGATGTGTACTGGAAGATTTACAACTCCATCTACATCGGCTCCCAGGATGCGCTCATAGCGCATTACCCACGGATCTATAACGATGACAAGAACACCTATATTCGTTATGAACTTGACTACATCTTATAATGTTCTGTTGATTTTGTGTTCAGTGCACAGCTGTTTCACCCTTAAACTTGCTTCAATTTGGTGATAAAAAATTTTAAACCATTGCAGGTCAGTATAGAGCTGGTCCTAGAGGAAGAGCTAGAAATCCAGTAGCATGATTTTTAAATAACCTGTCTTTGTTTTTGATGTTAAACCGTAAATGCCAGTAGTGACCAAGAACACAGTGATTACACACACGATACTGGAGGGATTTCATTTTTAATTCATCTTTATGAAGATTTAGAATTCATTCCTTGTATTTAAAGGGAATGTTTAAAAGAGAAATAAACATTTGTGTACAAAATGCTAATTTGTGTGTGTTTTTTGAACATGACTTGTAAAATGCGGAACTTTGATAAAGTGTTGGTTTGTGTAGAAAAAGTGGCTTAATTTCATTTTTTGTCACCTGGTTAATAGTAGTTAGAATATGAGCTATATACAGTGATGGCGTTTTTGTAAAAAATTGCATTGTTGTGGAGCAGGCGGCGTGGCTTTGGAGCGTGCCGTGCCCGCGAGCCTCCTCGGCGGATGTCTGGGTGCGTGGTGTGCGCTCACATAGCACCTTCCCCTCATCTCCAAAGTGCTTCTCCAGGTGCTCAGAGGGCGCGGCCGTAGCTGCGGCCAGAGCCTCACCCGGCTGCTGAGGAAGCAGGAGAGCTGCCTTGGAGCGGCTTCCTCCTGAGGGAGACGGTCTTGGGCACGTTCTGTGTCTTCATTAAGCCTCCACTTGGCTGTGCATTTAGAAGGACCTGTTGTGTCCAGTCACTGCTGAGACGTGGGTGACGAGGGGAGATGCTTCTTCTCCCCAGAGCGTGGGTGAGTGTGGGGACAGTTGGCCATCTGGGCTGCTGTCCTCCTAAGCCGGTGTGCAGCTACGCTAGAGCGCCCTTTATTCCAGAGGAGCCGAGCAGGAAGGGGCTGCTTCATGGCTTTTGGCAGATCTCAGTTTTTCTTCATTTCATTTTATGGCTCCAAGTTTCTTGGTTTCAGACCTTTGGCCACCCATGGCGATTCCGTGTTGTGTCCTTACACTAGTGAGCTAAAGGGAAGGAACTCCATGTGGTGGCTCTGCCACTGTGGGCAAAACTGGAGCGTGGCCGGGCCCTGCACCGGAAGCTCCCGGGGCAGTGGCTTTTATTGGGTTTACAGGATTGATGGACATTAACAGTTCCCGGGCAGGTCTGCAATGCCTTATTTTTGTCTTGTGAACATACTTTCCTAACACACATCATTGCATAGTAAAATCGGACACAAAGGCCAAAAACCACCTTGCTAGCAGTTAGCTCCCAGTACAGTGTTAAATCTTGCTATTTTCTGTGGTGGATTTTAAGTGACTGTCGTATTAATCATGAGAACTGAGTTCAGTTAGATTCCAAAGCCAAAGCGTGTCTTTCAACACCATCCTTGGAAAATGTTCATGACATTTTCAGTTGACGGATTTGGCTGGGCCCTGGCTAGTTTCAGAAAGTGACCTTGTATTGGGAACAGGAGGGACACTGCCTGAATGGCTTAGTGCTGATGCGCACAGTTGGGGAGAGCAGAGGCCTGAAAGGCGTGGCCCGAACGTGGGCCGCAGCTCAGAGCTGGGGCTAGCTGGCGGACGCCTCGCGAGCGGGGAAGCATTTTGTGCCAGTGTGGAAGGTGCTATGTGACGTTCTAGCTTCAGACCTTTTCTCTTGCACTTTGTTTCTGATGTTTCTTAAAAGCCAAACAAGCAGGAAGAAATGAATGTTCTGGGGGTAGGAGGTGGGATTTTCCGTGGGCTTTGGTTGGTTTTCTGTGGGCTGTTGCCCTCTAATGGAATTGATCTCTTTGGCTGTTCACTCCTTTTCGTATTGTATTTTTTAAACTTGTTGTATGGTGCCCTGTGAGCACCAGGTACCCCAGATGAATAAACTGATTGTCAAGTCCCAGTGGACCACTCTTCATCTCAGTCGCCTCTGTTACCACACCACACTCCTCCTCTTGTGCCATTTTAGCAGCAGTTCTTTGGGTTTGCCAAACAAGGGGACTTCATGTTAAAAAAAACCTGAGAGTGTTTTTCTTGGTAAAAGAAAACACCAGAGAAAATCCCTGTAGGTGTTCAGGTTCAGTTTGGCTCTTGGGCTGGCAGCTGCTGTGACCGATGTCAGAGGTGATGGGAAGCACCCCAGGGGTGCTGCGTCAGGTGTGGGCTCAGAGTCCTGCAGGCTGGGTGAACGGGGTCCCACCTGCCCTCGCCCAGCTGTGCCCAGCACCCAGAGACCGAGCAGGTGCCGAACACTGTACCCAGTCAGCTCAGCTCTGCACATCCTGGACAGGTTGTGTGTGGGGTGAGTGGGGGGTGGGGTGGGGGAGGGGGTCGCAGAGCTGCCCTGGCATTCACCAGAGCGGGGTTGAGACCAAAGCAGGTTTTGCTGGGCAGGACCTCTGGGCTCAAGGAAGTGAGGTCAGTGCAGTGTGTGACATTGTGGATTTTGTAGATTCAGACAACTTAAGGGAACTTCTTTTGTGGCCTAATGTTACTTTTGGAAGGAGGACTTTTCTTAGGTCTGGTGCTGGAGCTGAAGCCATATGCTTGGGCAGAGGGGAGGGGTTTGAGGAGGGAGCCCCTTGGCTTGGCTGGAGTTACCTGGGATGTGGTGTGCTAGGGAAAAAGGACAAAGCCCAGATACTGAGAAAAGCTGGAGGCCAAGGCCTGCAGAGCACAGGTGCCCTCAGCAGTGAGCTGAGCATGGGGTCAGGGTTGGGCGTGCTGGGAGAAGCTGGGGATGATGGGAGGAGGCTGGGATCAGCGGGGCTCAGGAGACGGCATTGAGAAATCCTGCCCTGCTGAGAATTCAAGGGACAAGCAACACGTGAAGAAGGTAACTGTTCGAGCTCTGACAGTTTAGGTCCCATGTCCAGGCACCTAGGCAAGGGTCACTTGGCACTGAGGAAGAGCAGCCCAGGGCCAAGCACCCAGTCACAGCCTCCTACCATGGGACCTGGAGGCCGGAGACCCTGCTGAGATGGATCTAGCATCTGTGTGGAGCTACTTCCTAGCCCTTTCTAAACTTCTGTTTAAAAATGTCACAGTTTTACTAAGTTGCCAGGGCTGGTCTCAAACTTGGGACCTTCCTCCTTAGCTTGTCAAGAGTGCTGAGATTACAGCCAGTACCACCATGCCCAGCTAGAAGCTGTTTTCCAGTCATCCCTGGGATCTGTACTTACACTACGTTGGAAGCCCTGGCCTGGGATCCACTCCATTCCCAGTGGTCATGACGAAGAAACAGCAGAGTTGTGTGGAACAAGGGTCGAGGACTGCTGTGTCCCGTCACAGGGCTCCCAGGTGCCCCAAGGGACCACGACTTTGGCTGCTGGGCCACTGTCCTGAGATTGGCTGGGACCCTGTTCTAACCTGAGAAGTGGCTCTTCATTGAGGGGTGTTATTTCTTACAAGAGCCCTCCACACTGCTGAATCACCAGACCTTGGGGTGTGGAGCTCTGAGCACAGAGTGCGGCCCCAAGAGTGGAACAAGAAGGAAAACCACTTGCTATGCAGTGTGTGACTGCCGAGAGGCTGCTTACTCCTGAGGAGAGCATGCAGCTCGCGGAGGACGGGGCCTTCGCTGGGCTAAGAGGCCAGGGGACAGTGGCAGTAATTAGCTCTCGGGGCGCGCACGGCACGTCCTGGTGGGCAGGCTACATTGCCTTTGGCTGTGTCCCACACCTGTGGGAACAGCTTGGCGGCACTTGGTGAGCAGTGCTCCCTGTGGCGGAGCTCTCAGGCCTGGGACGGTGACTGGTGTCCTTGTGGTGCTCCTGTGGTCACCTGGGGGTGTTTCTGGCCTCGACAAAAGTGCTCTGAGTGTCCCAGGCCAGAGGGGCCGGGCAGTGGGTGCTGGGCTCCTCTCGTGGCCCAAGCCTGCCTCCCTGTCCCGTGTCTGCCAGGCTCCCTGCTGTCCTGAGCCTCTGTGGCCCCTTCTAAGGTGCTGCCTGTGAGCGCTGCTCCTGTCCTCCTGCTCTCCACCCCATCGGGGTGGGAGCTACCCCTGGAAAGACTGCGCACATTCATCCCTGCTGGGAGCTGTGCGGGAACTCCCAGCGCAAAGCAAGGAGGACCTTGTGTTGGCCAGGCAGGCGCTTATGCCGCTGAGCTATCTCCTCAGTCCAAGCTGGCCTGTTTTTAAGCAAGTAAAATAATAAAATATAAAATAAAATTATGCCATGTCTGCAGTGCTGAAAATGGTCACGTCCCTTGTGGGGAATCTGTGAATAGAACACATCTCAATTCTCTTCTCATTCCCTTCCCTTGCCCTCCTCCCCGGCCCTCTGCCTCTTCTCTTGGGCCCCGTCCTGTAAGCAAATTACCTTTTGGCCCTAATTCAGGAGGTGCTTGAAGACCTAGCTCATCGCTTCCCTGAGCAAATCCTAGGAACTGCTCTTCTGGTTTCGTGCTTCCGCTTGCTGCGGTGTTTGCATCGTCTGGCAGGGGGCAGCAGAGTCCAGGGAAACCCCGGAGACCAGCCCTTCAGCGTGCAGCCAGGCCTTGACTCTGGACAGACCTTTGCGTGAAGCCTTCTACTAGGGTGGCTTTTGTTCACTTAATATTCTTTGAAGGCATCACAAATAATTTGGTGTTTTTGTTTTTTTTAAAAAACATTAGGAAAAAACTATCAGAGTCAGACACAGTGGTGCATATCTGTAATCTCAGCACTTGGGGCCTGAGGCAGGAGGATTGTTGGGAGTTTGAGGCCAGGCTGGACTCCAAAGTGAGCTCTAGGCCAGCCTGAGCTGCATAGTAAGACCCTGTCTAAACAAACAAAAAAGAAAAGAAAAAGAAAAAAACGAAAATACTCTGGAGGCTGAGACAGGAGGATCACGAGTGTGAGCCCAGTATGGACAGCGCAGTACAATCCTGTCTCAGAATAAAATTAAAACCCAGGTGGGTTAAGACGTATTAGTACATGGAGCAATAAATGCCCCATGATGCGCATGACTGTTATGCACTGCAAACGTAGACTAATAAAAACACAAAAAGTAACAACAAAAACACCATTTCTCAGGGCCGGGAAGATAGCTAAGTTGAATAAGCGCCTCCCTGGCCAGCCTAAGGTCATGAGTTTAATCTCTGGTATTGCAAAAACAACAAGAAAAACAAAAAATTAAAAAAAAAAAAAAACAACAACCCATTTCTCTCATTTTATTATGTCTGTTTTTTTTTTTTTTTTTTTTCTTCTTCTTTTTTCTTTTCTTTCTTTCTTGATTCCAGGGATCCAGCTTGGGACCTTGTGCTTGCCAGGCAGGCACTTATGCCAGTGAGCTATATTCCCAGCCTGGTTATAAAGT